CGCCATCCTCACTCTCTCTCCCGTCTCGCATTCGGTCGCGCGCTTAGGCTTCCGCCGCTCCCAGCTGTCGCCGAGGTGACTTCTTCGCCCGCGCCGTTAATCCCGCATCGCCGCCGGTCGCCCTCCGTCCTAAACCCCTCCCGTCCCTTGGGCCTGAGAAGGAAGGCGACATCCACACGGGCCGTCTCGTCGGATTTGGTTCGGCGTCGCCTTCTCCGAGTCACCGCTTCGTCATCGCCGTCTTGCCAAGCAGATCCAACCCCTCCGTCGCCTACGGCGGGAGATCCGCCCTTTGGGTACGTGGTCCACTCCACGCCTTCCCCTTAATCGTTGGTCGGTGACCATCCCTGCTGTTAGGGTTTACAAATCCTTGCTTCCCTACTTCTATTTCAGCTGGCACCGCGGACGCCGCCTTCAAAGGCACCAGATCCGTCACCTTCTCCTGCTTCCGCCCTCCCTGCAACGCCATTTCCGGTATGTTCCCGTCTTTTTCATCCCATTTTTGCTACACACTTCCAGATCCGCTTCGTTAGGGTTGAGGTTTATGCTCCCAGGTGTGGATGGCTAAGTAGAGACGGATTGTTAGGAAAACATAGTCCTTGCACATCCGTTGCTTTGAGGGTTAGCATAAACTCCATTATTTTTTACTGTTTTCATGTGGACTTGGCTCCCCTGGTTTCTCATGTAGTCCAATGTTGGATGGGTTGTATGCCTGTAACTCTGCCAGTTCAGCTCACGACTTATGAATAATGCATCAATGAATGAATCACATGGTCTTCCTCGGGTTGTTTCAGATTTCTTACTGTTCGTCACATTACTAAATTTTAGGGTGATTTGATGCTACTTGTGATGTAACTACATTTGGTTCACGCCAAATTCTCCCCGTATCTCAAAATTTCGATATATTAACCAATGCTGGATGTATGGGTATTCATATTTGTCCCGGTGTTCTTCCTATATAAATTCAGTCAAGACATCAGCTTATTTTGAACATCGACGTCTAAATTGGAGTTTTGACATGCTGGTCTGTTTGAAAATTCTCTTACATACAGATACACTAGTTCATTGCGTTGATGAAATGCATTTTAATTTCAGTGATTATGTTACTTCTTTTAGTACTCCTATAATATGTTGTTAGTACAATACACAAACAGTTCTATTCCGAATTTAGACAATGAGGCAGGATTACTTTGGTATACATATAGTTTTGATAGATTCGTACGTTTATCATGTAGGTGTGCTATTTCCAAGTCTATATACTGACACCGTCGTCAATAGTTTCCTGCTCCCCGCTGGAAGCCCCTCGGTACAACTTGTGTTCCAAGCGCGTGAAGCGAGAAATCAAGGCAAGTACACAATTCTGTCCATTGCATCATGTTTTAGTTCACCCGTGCATGCCTTTAGTTTTTTTGCAGTACCATTACTATGTCCAGCCATAAACGACAATAGCCCTTCAACGTTCCAACAGATGCCTCCGAAGCGAGCAAATTGGAGCGAGGATGACACCAAGTTGTTGCTGGACCTTTGTCTTCAAGAGAAGGACAAGTTTAACTTCAATCAGCAGGGTCTCACCACGACTGGCTGGAACAACATTTACACTAACTCCCCGCATTATGATAAGAAAAAGTGCAACAACAAATTAGGAACCCTCAAAAAAGCCTACCTGACATGGAAAGATAAACTGGTAGCCACTGGGCTTGGGAGGGACCCACGTACGGGCGACATTGAAGCTGAACCTGAGTACTGGGAAACTCAAGCAGGTTCCCAGTCCGTGACATCAGTATGTTATCTTGTTAACAGTTCTGATTACATTGGTTATATTGTTTAACATCATGTACTGTGCTTTTTTTGTAGGAAGACAGTATGCCTGAGGTACGACGTGGTAGGCAACCTCGCTTTCTGGACCAACTTGAGGCATTATTTTGGGACCGCAACCGGAACACGGGATGCTTTATGTCCGCTGGTGGTATTCGTGAGTCAACGCCTCCTGCTGCTTTGCGTCCAACAGACTTAGGCGGCCCATCCAGCTACCATTCTGGTTCGAAGAAGGACAGCATGGACAATGTTGTCAACAGCCCAAATAAGAAGAAGACTTGCAATGTGGGGGAGTACATGGTCCGGTTGTTTGAGAGAATTGCTGCAAGGAGCACATCACGGGATAGAGAGCGAACCCGTGAACAGGCCGAGGTTGACGAAGCTATGCAACTTTTACGAGAAGATGGTGTGCCATCCACTTCAGACATGTTCTTCTTGGCAATAGTGTTGTTCAAGGACTCAGTGACCCGGCGGGTGTTCAAGAATCTGCTGACAGCTGAAGAACGTATGGCTTGGCTGACATATCACATGAACAGGAACAACAAGTAGTTTAGCAGCTGGGATGTTGAGTTTGGTGTGAAGCAATGATGGCATTTGAGTGTCGTCTTTTATCCTTTACATTCATTGTTGTTCTAGTTATGTTGAGGTTTCTGTCTTGTAATGGGCCCCATTGCCAAAACCATGTGTCGTATTCTTTTTCTCGAACTCGTTATAAGTTGTGTGATGCGATGCATTTGTTTGAGCTACCTGACATTATTTGGTTGTTGAAGCTAACAAATATTTCATTATTAACAGATGCTATAATTGTTCTCTATCTGAACAAATCATAACGGGGTGCTTGTGTTGCAGGTACCTATGGGACTGATTGAAGGGGTCATCCATTCCTAGCGAGACTGAAGGTGTGTATGCAAATTGTATTCACAAGTTATGCTTAATATACTGTTGGAATTTAGTTACCAACGTTGGTTTTTATTTTTCCTTGGCAACCTGTTGGAGACATGGACAACAGCGACGAGGACAGTCAAAATTCAAGTGAAAATAGTTTCAACGAGATGGTTACTGCAGCTATGGCTGGAGGCTATGCATATGTGTATATGCTGCAGGTACCACCACAAGGTAACCATGTTATCTCTGTGCCTGAGCTTACCGGAAGACAGTGCGTAAATAAGCTGTTGTCAGATGCTAGTAGGTGCTTTGAAAACTGTCGAATGCGATCTGAAAATTTGATTAGGTTGCATAGCATTCTACGTGATAGCTATGGGCTAAAAGGCAGTAGGGAGCTTGAATCCATTGAGGCATTAGCCATGTTTCTATGGGCATGTGGTACAAATCAATGTGAGAGACAAATGCATGAGAGATTTAGGAGGGGGTTGGCCGGTTGGGGACATGTAGCAAGGTATTTTCACATGTTCTGGCAGCCATGACTAGATTTGCAGATGATGTGCTTAGGCCTAGGGACACCACTTATTCGGTCTTGCCAACTAAATTGTTGAAGTACACGCCGTTTTTTGATGGCTGCATAGGCGTCATGGATGGCACTCACATAGATCTAATAGTTGACCAAGGAGTCTGTGATAATCATATAAATAGGAAAGGGAAGACAACCCAAAATGTGGTTGTGGTCTGTGACTTCGACATGAGGTTCATGTATATTGGGGCGAGGACGGAGGGTTCAGCTCATGATATGCGGGTAAAAAGAAAGGCAGAAGACGATGCCTTTTTCCCACGTCCACCATCAGATTAGTTTAACTTAGTCTGATTGGTTGATGTATTGATGCAAAGGTTTCATGCTGGAGCTAATTGTATCTGAACTGATGTCTTGCTATGAAATTATGCAGGCCACTATTACTTGGTGGACTCCGGTTACGCACTTCGCCCCGGATATCTGACGCCGTATCCAAATAAGAGGTACTGGATGAAGGAGTTCCAGACTAGGGGGGCTTGTGATGCGCAGGAGTTGTTCAACCGGCACCATTCAAAGTTGCGTAATGTTTTAGAAAGGACATTTGGGGCAGCAAAAGTTAAGTGGCAGATGTTGAAGGACGTACCTCACTATCCAGGGACCAAACAAACCCAGATAATTATTGCTCTTCGTGCACTGCACAACTACGTGCATGAGCTGGAGGGTCAGCACCAACCAGGGAGGTTCAGGCAGGCGCCAGACCTTGGGCCTTTGAGCCAAGTGGCAGCTATGGCGTTGGGAGATCCTAATGATATGGAACAGGTCCGCGACTGGATAACATATGGACTTGGACTTTTTGGGAAGACAACGTAAGTGAAATATTTATGGTTTTGGTACAAATCAGTGAAGTCATGCACAATTCCTTTGGCTGCCTAGTTTGGGGCTAATGAGGATACGTACACATGTAGGTGAAGGAAGTGCCGACATGGTGCACGGGGAGCAGATGATGGCTGCAAGAAGATGCCTGTGATCGGTTTTTGCTTCACATGGATCTACTGATGCCCTGAGTTTTGCTCTGCTAATGCTTCTAACTTTTGTCTTTAGATTGTGCTGCTGCAGAAGGCTGGACCTGTTGCTTGTAATCCTGGTACTTGTAATCCGTCTCTTGTATTGAACTTGGTGTAGTGAGCTGCTGCCATGTGAAATGTATTTGAATGATGTAAGTACTGTCATGGAGAACAGCCATGAGTTAGCATTGCTATTGTTTCAATTCATTTGAATGTTGTAAGGGCTGTAATAAGCTGCTGGCTTGTGTTTGAATCGCAATAAATGTTGTTTTTACCGTCATATTTTTAATTCAAATAGCTGTTGGTGCTGTTCGGCTGATACCGGGCAAAATGCGGCTCATTCTAGTAACTGTACCGGTATCAGCCAACAGCCAGAAATCGATCAGCCGAACAGGGCCACTACTATTTCAGAACCAAGTCATGCATTGGGGTACAAGTACAACATATCAACCATGGCAGATCCACGGCAATGTAGCAACAGCCCATATCTTAATTCTTAACAGGCGAGGGAGACTTGCCATTGTTGCTTCTTATGGCTCTCTCTCTCTGTCTCTCTCTCTCACCCACACACACACAAACACACACACATACTTTCTCCCATTACTTAATTAACAATGGTCACCGGCAAGCAAAGCTGCTAGACGCCCCACACGAGACCAGCTGCCATTCCAGACGCCGAGAGCTGAGAGCCGGAACAGCAAGCTGTCAAAGGTGGTCTAGGGGAAGAAGAACGGGTTCGTAGTCGGGAACGGCGCCGGCGGGTGAGACGGCAGCGGCATGCCGCCGTTCGCCCCGGCGGCGGTAGAGAATCCTGATGATGCTGCAGATTGGTGCAACGGCACGTGAAGGGAGCCCTGCGTTTGCCATGCCCAGGTGGGGAATGGCTGGGCACCCAGCTCAGGCCTTAGCTCCATTGGCCTTTCCTGCACCGGCACCTGCACAAGCACGAGCATTGTTAAGTTTTGACCACAGTGAACGTTTTCACCTGAAAGTCGTTCACAGGAAACAGAGTGAACAAACAACCAAGATGGGATATCAGCTAATGATGATTCGATGAGCATGATAAATTATTCAGGATTCTGTTTTAATTAAATAATTAATTAATTTATTGTAAAGTACTCCTATATGTATGTGAAGCCAAATCAATACTTATGTTAGCTCTATTTCCCGTAAATTCAGAGCATCCTCAGGACTAAAGCTGCAACACGTGATCCCTGATCAGCGTACTAAAGATGCATCCCATGTTATGTCAAGAAACTGTCGTGTTTCAACTGCCGTGTTTCAAAAGATGGAAACTGGCAGAACGGCCTGGTCGAAACATCAATCAGCTCACACGCCAAACAGTACCTGCGATTAGTAAAAGTAGGAGTACTAGTACCAGCTGAGACCCCCCCAAAAAGGGCTGTATAGTGTATTTCCAAGGAACAAGACATTTCATCAGAAATTTCAAAGCAACTGTTTGTAGGGAATCAAGCTACAAAAAGTTAGACATGTCGACATATATATTCGGCTTGTTTCTTTTCATTATTTTCTTTTTGGAACACAGGGCATGTTCAGCTAACCATCCTGGATTGGAGTAACTGATGGCATTGGAATAGCAGTTTTCATGTGTAACAAAGGGATCCTGGTGATACCTGGTGGTTAGGAAAGAAGCCATGACAAGCTGACGAGTACAAACGTTGATGGTGAGATGACACTGCTGGGTTTTGCTGATACCCGGGCCAAGGGGATGATGAGCTCATTGGCTACAGCAGCAGGAGATAGAAGCAAATACTGTAAGATCATTACTAATAACTGTAGGACCTGGACCACGAATTAATATCTCAACTAACCATATGCCAATCAAATAATCCTATGAATCTTATAGGTCAGGAGTTACTAGTAGGAACTAGTATCAGAGGTCCAAGATTCTACAAAGAAGACAATTCAACCTACAGTTGCTTCCATCTTAAGATTTTAATTTTTCTGAAACACCTCTTTAGCTACCATAAGTAGAAGGTTATATACTGAAAAATTGAATGGATCCATGTAAAATTCTTCTGACCCCCTAGGGCGCCGCTAAGGCGTGTTGTATGAAACTGTTTTCTCTACCTTAATAGAGAGACACGCAAACCTTTTGCATGATCAAGAAAAAAAATAGAATGGATCATTTTACCTGAGAGGCCATCGTATTTGAAGATTCAGGGGAATCACATGTTGGCTGGATGCCAGTTAAGGTATTGTCCCTTTTGGGATCTTGCACATTAGGTTGTGAAATCCGCAAATCCAAATCAATGGCATCACCATCAACAGTTGCTGAGAACGTAGAGAAAACCATGAGATATCTCAGACACTTTGGCTTATATGAAAAAAATGTCAGATGACGAGGCTGATTGTAATACCCTCAGTTTCGGTGTCAGGCAGGCTATTATCTCCTGAATTGTAGGAGCTAGGCTCAAAGTTAGTAACAGCTTCCCTCCCATTGAAGCGAAGGGCTGCCCTGTCATAAGCCCTACCAAATTGCAACAAACATTAAAAGTCAGCGAAGTTAATGAAGCTGACGAAAGCAGCATGTCCTTAGAAAATGAACCGTGAAAGCTACAGTGGTACCTTGCCGCTTCAACTTCGCTGTCAAAGAGCCCAAGATAGATGTACCTGCATGTGAATTCCAGTTGTGAGATATTCTGTCTCACCAGAAGGATGCCTACACTTGTAGGCCTTGACAAAACTGGCCCTAGACTATGGAGTGCAGAATTGCATTGTCTGCAAATGCTCATATCTGAAATCTAGTGGTTGCTGCAAATAGATCTGTATGATATTGTTAGGTGCCATGTCAGAACAATTATTAACATACTAACCATTATTAGCAAATAGACATACTAACCATTATTAGCATACTAGAATACCAAGCACACTGACCCCAGCGAGAATCACCTTGTTGTATATTCCTTAAAATCACCCCCAAGCTGCACCTAACATGAACTTAAATTATGTCGAATTAATCATTGACCAACCCCATGTCAAATGTGAAATCAAGCCAACCTCACCCCAGCGCTTTTTGCTCATAACCATGCATAAAAACATTTGAACTGAAGCTAACAGAGTACAAAAAGGGAAAGACAGGGGCCACTACGTATGAAGGTCAATTTTTTACTGCCAGCTTACTTCTTGCCAAGAAGTTGCCCCATCCTAGCTTCCCAGCGGCCGCACTTGTGCAGCGTCACGCCACGGTACTTCGAGCTTCCCCTCGCGAACCCGGTGCTCTGGCGCCGGAGTATGTGAACGAACTCCTCCTTGGTCCAATTCCTCATCTGGAAAGCACACCCATCATCAGTCCACCGCGAAACTATCGATCATGGAGAAACTGTAGATGCCATTTGATGTTTTCATGCAACTATTACCTGCTTCAAATCATCCTCGTAGTCGTCCAGATTGAAGTTGATGTCCGCCTCGAGGCCGCGGAACTTGATCGCAGCTCGATCATACGCCCTGCTTGGTCCAAACTTGACCATTTCAACGCGCTTATCGATCACAAAACTGCAAATCGACACGAATTCAAACAAGCAAAAGGCCCCTAACCTCGCAGCCGCGTGCGCAGTGTCAAAACCACCTGGGTAGAAGGGCATCAGCACATCGAAACCAAATCAAACGCAGCAAAACTAATCGACAGTTCATAGAAGATGCTCGAGCTCGAACGCGTGGAGCTCGGGCACTTACCTAGGTAGACTTGCTTCCCGCAATCCCTGCTCATATCAAGCAGCAGCAGCAAAAGGAGGAGGAGGAGAAGAAAACGATCAAGAGCCATAAGCGGATGGATTAGTACAGTAGTAGTAGAAGGTAATTACGAAGGGTGCAGACGAGGTCAGCGGTTGAGTACCAGATGTGTGACTCCCAGCGGCCCGTCCTCCTGTAGAAGGTGACGCCCCTGTACTGCGAGCTCCGCGACCTCGGCCCACGCCGCGTCTTCTTCGCGGGTGCCACCGGCCTCTGCGCCACGCCGAGATCCTCGGCGCGCCGCGGTTGCCACATCGGCACCGGCGGCGCCGCCGGCTCCGGCTCCGGCTCGGCCGGCGGGGTCGGGGACGGGAAGAGCTGCCGCGTCATGAACCCCGTGGACGCGCCTGGCGCCATCTCGCCGGAGCAGTCGTCGTCGTCGACGGGGCTCCCGAGCAGGCCGAACCGGAAGCCGCCGTCCGCGGAGTTGAGGACGGACGAGCTCGACGTGCCCGAGTCCGCCGGCGACGCTACATTGAGATCCAGCACCATCTCCGCTCCGGGGCCCGCCGGAGCCTACCACAGTCCACCTCCCGCCCAAGCTTCGACTCACCGGTCGGTCACTCTGCCTGCCTGCCTGTCTGTCACCACTCACCACCGCCTGATGCTGCTCCACCCCGAGCAGAGCTTGATCGGCGGCTTCGGCCCCACGCCTCTCTATGGCTCCTGAGCAGGAGCGCAGCAGCCACGATGAGTAGCGTGGTGGGAGGAGGAGCAGTAGATGGTGGTGATGGTGGCCGTGGCCATGAGGTGGGGTGAGGGGAGAACGATAAGAGAGAGGCAGTGGGAGAAAAGGAAAGGGAGATGGGACGTCGAGGAGGGTGAAGGGTATCAAAGGTAAACTAATTTTGTGCAAGGGAGCTTCGCTACGGCACGCGCGCCTCCGGCCACGGTGGTTAACGTGTCGCCCGCCGGCTCAGCCGGAGCCGGGATTTGCCATGGGTTTTATAGCTGCACTGACACCGTCTCCGACGACGACGTCACCTAAAATATAAGATCTTTGAGTAGTGCTACATATAAAATATTTAATATCTATTTTTTTTCTTCTCTGACAATAAGATCTAGAAAAGAATTTTTTCTGCAAATGAGTCTCCAAGAGAGAGAATATTCATATTTGGGTTATGACTCTGCTGTAACTCAAAATGGCTCTCGTATGTAGGTACTATGTGGGAGATCAAAACAGTACCATCTAGTACCTATTTTTGGTTTAGGTGCTTATATAGGTAAGTTGTTGGAGACAGTCTAACCACGGGTTGGTTTTCTTAGCAGCTTCATTGACATTATCTTTCTTTTTTTCCTGTATTCTAGGTCTGAAAAAGGGTGGTTCAAAAGAATTGAGACTTTTTATATGTCACCATCTACGTTGACAATAATAGGTAGATATTTAGCTAGTGTCATCTATCATTAGGTGCGCAAAGCTTTAGGCACTGTAACGATACACTTGCACAAATGGTGTCGACATGAACGTAAGTGTTAGCAAAACTTTATGACTACAACGTTAAGTTGGTCTTTATAAATGAAGTAATGTGCAGTTGATAATATAATATTGTAATCTTTTGAGCTGCCTGCTAACAACACATGTAGTTTTATATAGCATGTTGGTACGACTACTTTTAACATTCCCATCAAACGTGTCTTTATATTTTCAGAATCCTCGTGTCTTCCCGACGTATAAAACACCTTTCTATCCGAACAAATCAACAAAACCACACAAGTGACACCAATAAATAACCAGTTAAGCTCCCGAATTAATTGCCAGGAGTACAAGGTGCGGCTATCTTTGGAAAGCTGCCGCACTGACGCGGCACGGCAGCACCGGTTCAGCTGATACGCCAGCCAGCGGCCAATCAGCAGCCGACAGTGCGTGGACCAATAATGCCAGCGCGCAGTGGCCGCGCGACCCACAGCCAGCTCCTGCTGTACGGCCGGTACTTAACCGGTAAACAAATCACGCGCCGTACGCATCGGACGCTACAATTGGCGCATTAATAATTGGCGGCAAAATCCCACACTAATCCTGCACTGCAGCACAGTGCCGCGGGGGCCCTCCCGCGGCAGGGGTAGAATGGTCGAAGCCGCCCGCCCGCCGTCCGGGCGCCGACTCGGCGCGGCGGCGCGCGAGCCGCCCTGGCGTCCGCCGTCCGCGCGGCTGTGGTCTGGGCTTGGGGACTCTGGGTACGCGCGTAGGCGTAGCTCCCGAAATCGCAAGGAGACGTGCGGCAGTCTCCGCGGCGGGCACGAGATGCACGCGCGGGTTGGTTGGCCATGGCAACTATCAGATCAGATCCAGATCTTTCTCGCCTCGAGCCCAACCCCTAACTGTTCTGAACCGTCCATATCAACAGTTGCTCGCCCCGTGCTGACGCGCTGGGCCTGTCAGCTGCGGCGCTGCGCCCGACGCCCGTCAGGTCCGGGGCTCCGGGCCGTCTTCCTGCCGGGCCCGTCCGGCGTATGGTATGGTGCCGCGCCGCACGTACCTCTGTCCGTGCGCGGTGCGCCTCATGCGCCGGCCCAGCGGGAAACGTCGCTCGTCCCGTTTCTAGAAATGCACCGGCGCGGCGCCGGCGGGAGGGCGGGAACAGGGCCTGGAAAAGGCACGGACACGCGGGCGCGAATCCGCGGTTCCATCGGCACGCTCGTGAGCCGTCCGTGCGGGGGCGGCCGAGGCGCGGAGGACGGAGACAGCGCCACCCGTGGCTTTGCGCCGGCCGGCACAGTGCTTTGACTTGAATGGCCAGTGAAAGCCTGCCTCTGCCTGGCTGCCTTCGTCTGCAGCGGCTGAAGGATGGACGATGGCGTGCGTACTTGATGTGTTCCCTTTCCTCTCGCAATCAGTACCGATCGAACTTATCGGCCAACAAACTAACTAGGGAACAGGGCGCCGTACGCATATTAACTGTAGAATTAACTGCAGGATCGCGACGGATTGCGCGCGCCGTACGGCTTTGGAGGTCTCTCTGTTCAGAGCGCATCGTGTTTTCGTCTGACTTGAGATTAGTAGGGCTGTACAGTATACAGTATCACTATTAGTTACTGGTAACCACATGTCAGTACGTAAACAGAGGATTAGTACCGTGGCGGTCTTTGCTTGTTTTGTTTGTCATCGTCGCGTCTCATCCTGATCCCGACTGTACGGTTTGATTTGTTCATTCGTTAGGCTTGCGCCTGTTTCTCAAATCTAAACACTCTTTTTTTTATTCAAAAAAAATGAAGAATTTGAGATCAGCAGTTTTGTGGGCTTGATTCGGATGGTTGGAGAGCATCTTGAAATTCTCTAGGCCCGATTTTACACGGCGGAAGAGAGCCTCAAGTCCTTCCATTTCAGGCCGACGAGCACAACTAGTAATTCGTGTGGGCCGTGTACTGAAAATAGCACAAAACTTGGCCCAACTCAGTTGACCCAAAGGCCTTAGCCCATTTACTCCAAACAAGAGCCCTAGGCCCTATTTCAGAGCAGAAGGGATATAAACGCTTCCCCCATATCTGACCCCAAACCCTTTCGCCTCCGCCGCCTGATTGCTCGAGCGCCCTCGCCGTCGTCTGCTCGGCAGCCGTACTCTCGCTACGAGCTAGGCATCACCTTCGCCGATCCAACATGGGGTAATTCATGATGCTGTGCTCTCAATCTCATTCCCTATAAGTTCTACTCTATTCCATGATTTTTTTTTCCGTTTTTCTCCCAGATCTATGATGATAATAACAGCGTTTCAACATGTTATCTTGTGATGCGTCATCTTATATCTAGTTGTTCGTTGGGTCTAGAATTTTTGTTGTCTTCCTACAAGAAAATCAGATAAGTGAAACCTGCGTAGCAAGTCTCTCAGTCACGTAGGTTGACTAGTAAATTCCTGCTGGTTGTGGTAGAGGTTTCATGTGCTACTTGGTAGTGCGCACTGTCTATTGCCTTGTTATAAGCATGATTTGTACCTGGAGCTGGCATAGTTTCATGCCTGATTCATCACATTTCTATTATCTATAATATAATATACTGAATTAACTCAAATTGTGCACCAATTAATTAGACTAAAATGGTGGACTCACTGTTATACCGATAATACCTGTTCTAAGCCTATGATATTCTCATGCTTTGTACTTCTGTAATATAGTGATCTTTCTCCAGCTGCTGATATAATTGTGTATTGATGTTATGCATTATTGTTATGGTTGGTCTGTAATGCGGAGCGCTTGACCATATTATCTACAGCTACTAATTTCTCTACACTCGTAAAAAAATAGAAATTCTTAAGCTTAACACACTGTTAATTCTGATGCAGCTAACTATTATGTGTATGACTTTTTAGTGCCTTGAATTGTGGGTTCAGAGAGTAGTGTAATGTTCTTTTGGAGTTCCTTTTGGTTCTCTTATGTTTATGTAGCATGCTGCATAGAGCAAGTGCTGTAATCAGGTCCCTTTTCCCAGATACCACCAGATTTATGCTGTACAGTGCCTTATAAAATCACATTCAATATTTTTTCACAATTAATCTGGATTTAAGGATGTGCATCCTCATTAATGGAGACAGTAGTCTTCATGTGGCTCCATAGCTCATTGAGATATGGTAACATGTTGAATTGTCGACCTCCCCCCCACATTGTATCACATATTCACATCAGCTATTACTGCCAGTTGCCCAGTTATGAACATGGACAATAAATCTTTTTATTTTCCATATAAGCTTTCTTTGAAATGACCCCGGAAATCTAGATATTTTCTTACTGTTCCTTTGCTGCGATTTTAGCTTTTTTTTTTCATATAACTAGCTCATATGGTCACTGAATATGAAATAAGTCCTTAGTTTGTTATGCTCTTGTTTAAATTGAGCTTCATGCCCCCCAAGTTAACTGTACTCTCAAGGATATACTTTACAACCAAACAGGAAATCCATTCCAAAGTAGAGGTTAGCAATCAGTAGAGTTCAGGTCTTAAACCATACAGATAATACTACTCTGTTTTGTAGCCTGGTAATCCTTTTGCACCTGGAGCTTTATACATCTTAAACTTAGTATACAAAGACTTAACTTTTTGCCGTGTTATGCTAGCTGAATGTATTAGAATCCAGCCTTTATGGTTTATGAACAAGCAGCAACTTAAGCGCTTAGCTGTATAGCTTTCTTGATGTTTAATTGAAAATGTTTGATGTGGCTATACTTGGTGTTGACATATATTTTTGGATGCTAACATTTGTGATTCTGCTGCAGTAAGACACATGGTATGGGAGCTGGGCGTAAGCTCAAGACCCACAGAAGGAACCAGAGGTGGGCTGACAAAGCCTACAAGAAGAGCCATCTTGGCAACGAGTGGAAGAAACCCTTTGCTGGTTCATCTCACGCAAAGGGAATCGTCCTTGAAAAGATGTGAGTTCATTGAAACAGCATAGTCCATTTCTTCTGAAGAACAGGCAAATTAACCAATGCCTGACATGCACTACTTCATTTGCAGCGGCATTGAGGCTAAGCAGCCTAACTCTGCTATCCGTAAGTGTGCTCGTGTCCAGCTGGTGAAGAACGGGAAGAAGATTGCTGCCTTTGTGCCAAACGATGGTTGCTTGAACTACATTGAGGAAAACGTAGGTTCTATTTCTCCAGTTCATAGGACTCTTAACGGGTAACTGATGTTGTCCCTCTCTGCTGTCTGCTGCTAATTAACATTTTTTGGCCAATTGCACGGTTGCACTGCTGCCCCTCTTGGATTCTTAGGATCCGGACCTCAGATTTTCAAAATCCAGCCCACAATCTCCCCTGTTTGAATGCTAGTTACAGAACGCCATGTTACTTTTCTTTCAGCAAGCTTTTGATTTTAAGAATTTTCTGATGCTAAAAAACAAAACCAAGAATTTTAGCTGCTATATTTAGCTGCTATATTTCAAATCTGTGATCTTCATTATCTTTTCCATCATATATGCAGACTAAACATAATTAAATGTGACAAACGAATAACAAGAGCCATCTGTTCTTCTACAGTTGCCATCTGTTCCTCCTCTGAGCCATCATAGCGAGCTTCAGCCCATCCTGAGCGGCAGCGCATCGTCTTCTACAGTTCCCCGCCCCAGTGGGCTGAGTATGATTTGTTCCTTTTTTTCAACTTTATTGTTTTTTCTGCTAAAAGAAAACAAACTGTATGGACTGTCTCTATATTGACTCTGTTTTGGACAACAGGCATCTATGGACAACAGACATCTATGGACCGAGGAAGAAGAGTTGGCTCTGTTTCAGGAAGCTGAAACACTTCTTAAGACTCAAAAGTATTCTAAGCAATCAGCGCGAAATGCATGTCTTATGGCGAGGATGAATGAACGTTTTCCAGGGGTGGCTATTAAGTTCACTGTTGGCGTTATTAAGAACAAGCTTTCTCTATTTAAAGAAAGGTGGTTAGGACGCCATACGCTGGTATTTGCCCCGCTCCTCATTCTTTCTTTGCCCCACTCCTGAATTTAGATTGCTGATGAGAAGTTTTTTCTTGCATCCCAGATAACATGCAAAGGCAAACCTATCCCTTGCAGTCAAGACATGCTCAATATTTTATTCGCTGAGACTGGTAGTGCTAGTGAAAGCACAAATTCAGGTGCAGCTGATGCAGGTGTAGCTGATTCGGTGAATGTGAACTACGGGATGCAGCAAGGTGAAGCTGTTTCGGTGAATGTGAACTACGGGATGCAGCAAAATAATGGTATAGTTGGCTATTCCATCATGGATTGTATAACGCTTGTGGAATCTATTCAAGAGCTCACAACCGAAGAGAAGGTAGATGCGGCAAATATAATGAGGTTTGAGGGTATGGCTAGAGTAATGTTCATGAACTTCACGGACCCAGCAGTTCGCCTGTGTTGGATCAAAAAGGAGCTTGCTAAACTGGTGAGTTTACTCTATTGCCCTTAGAATTATGTATATGTGGGCTGAAAATGGACCTAACTGCACTAGCAAAAGAGCTGACAGGCAAATATGTTCTTTACTGTGCAATTTAAGTCTGCTCCCAGTGATCTAGTTGTCTGATTTTGCATGTAGCCGAAGGATCACTGAGTGGAGGATCAGAGGACTGCTATCAGAGGACTGCTTAAGGTGGCATCTAGTTTGTTAATGTGATAATGATCAACAAATATTTTAGGTAAATTACCTATGCAGTGTGCTGTTTTTAAGTTGTTGCGCTATACATCTTCAGGTTCATGGAGATGGAGATGAAGGCTGCTGCCATGTGCTGCCATGTTTATGTGTGATCGTTTGTAGGGAACTTTTTTATCTTTTTGAAAGACTTGAATTGAAGGGAACTGCCATGCTTATGTGTAATCGTTTGACAGTGGTAATTCCTGCTGGAATCGACTGCCTGTTGGTCTGATTGCTTGTTGTTGCTCCCTTAAGCTCAATGACATTGTCGTGATGAACTGATGTTACCTTGTTTGTTCACCCTTTCACCCTGTTTACCCTTTCAAGCTTTTACCCTGTTTACCCTTTTCACCTCTTTTACCCCTTTTTACCCTTTCCCCCTTTTACCATTTCAACCCTGTTTACCCTTTAACCCTCTTTACCCTTTTATCCTGTTTGGTTTACCCTTTTTACCCTGTTTACCCTTTCAAGATTTTACCCTGTTTACCCTTTTACCCTGTTTACCCTTGCAGAATATGCAAACAAACACAATATTATTTTAAAATTATTTAATTTTAGAATGGAGAGAAGTCTATTCGTAGTAGTAATTAATTAATCCAACCATGTTGCGCACCGTTTGGTACTTATAAAGGTTATACTCCGTACTATATAAGTATATATACATATAGGCAGACAAACGGGTTCCACAGCCGTTGCTCTTCGCATTCCAACCATGTTGCGCATCGTTTGGTACTTATAAAGGTTATACTCCGTACTATATAAGTATATATACATATAGGCAGACAAAAGGGTTCCACAGCCGTTGCTCTTCGCATTCTTTTTCTACTTTGCCGTCCGCCTCCTTGTATTTGCCTTCTTAGGAGCAGTCTGCGTTTTCTGCTGCTTTGCCTCAGGAGCATTTGCCTTCTCAGGAGCAGTCTGAGTTTTCTGCTTCTTTGTCTTGGTTGTCTTAGGAGCCTGCTGAACTGTTGCCCTCTTATTCAAAAAGACCCTTAGGATACCTCTCTGCAAGAATGCAACAAAAGTAAAACACTTGTACAAGTGTACAAATATAGACAAATAGATGAATAGTTAAAAAGGCCTTACCGGCATATTGTTAAGCGGCTCATTAGACTCCTTGGGCAGCGGCTGAGGGAACTCCTTGGGCAGGGGCACTTCGTTTAATTTGTGGTATAAAAGGTAACGCACAACCGTACCTTTATAGTCTGGGGAGTTCATACCATCCTCTAGCCAATTCCGTTCACCAGTGAAGAACTCCATAAATAATAAGGCCAATAGACTGCCATCAGATATCTTATCCATATGAGAAGACCAATGAACATGACAGTTCTTTCTGCTGCAGGATAGCTTCCCTATGGCATATTCTAGTTTGTCAAAGATGGTCATGCAAATGACATCGCCTTCAGACCAGGATTCACTAGAATTGTTGCAGCTTAGAAACTCAAACTTTTTGTGACTTGAATTGTAACAAAAGACAAACATACGGTCATCACCGGCGATCACAGGGACAAATATCTGTAAAAACAAACTTGTTAACCTACATACACATAGACATCCATACACATAAACACATGGAAGACACTTACCAGCCGAGTCTTCACCCCTACTATGGACTTCCCATCCCGAGACGGAGCTTCAGAAAGATCTCTTTCTAATGCCCCACCCTCAATAGACTCCTGCACTTGTAGGAAAACAAAATGGGTAACTTGCATTTTTACTATCAGGGTAAATCATCGGTAAAGAGGGAAAAAAAGAATTGTGGGTAATGACTTACCAACGATTGTGGCAGGAAAAAGAATCTTGTTCCAGGACTGACATCAGATCTGAAGCATATTAGAAATGCTCTTATGATGTCCACACTGATCTTGTCATTGGTCAAGAACTCGGTCAGTATATGAGTAGGGATGGTCACCCCTTTGATACGTATCAATGCATCTCTGTCGACAAAATTCAACACATAGTAAGGTAAATCTTATTAAGGGTCTTATTGACAAGTAAATACAACATGGCAAGTCTTCAGATTGAGATACTTACTCTTCAGTTGAAGTCATGCTGGAACACAAATGACTGACGACCTCATTGACCATATCTTTTGTCGACACATTGCGTTTATTGAACAGCGGTGGAGATGCATACGGATTGTAAATGTTTCGCGGATTGGTCCTCCTGGTTAGCGGTATGGTCCTCCTCCTCCTGGATTTGTGAATGTTTTGCACATTCCCCTGCAGTGTCTCTTTCTTGTTCTCTGTCCCCTGCAGTGTCTCTCTCTCTCTTTCTCTGTCCGTGGCTGTTGCTCTTTCTCTGTCCCTGGCTGTTGCTCTTTCTCTTGCTCTATCCCTGGCTGTTGCTCTTTCTCTTTCTCTGTCATATTTCTCTTTGCCCCAGCCTCAATAAACATCTCATAAAGTTCTTTGCAAGTATCTGGCAATTCAACTGCAGACATCTTACCGCCTTTCTTCTTGGTAGATGAAGCTCTCTCCCTTATGCCTGAAAGGACATGTGCTGCAGAAGCAGGAATTTTCGTCACATCTATAGCGGAAAGATGGGAGGAAAGAATAGCATATGGCGATGCAGAAGGGCTATACGGATTCGTGTTTCCTGTTAACAGATTCGTGTTTTCTTACTTCTGTATCTACAAACACGAATTCGGGTACACAAAACACAAATACGTCAAACTTGTACCCGGATTCGTGTTTGCGTCACCATGATTCATCTTTTCAAAATTGATTAAAAAAAGTTAATTGATAGAGTGCCTTTTGGCCATCAAGAGCACTAAGTCTATTAAATGCCGCAAGACACTACAACCAATTAACTTTCAATTCATCCAACACTGGTATCGCTTACCCTAGATTGGCGATGTTGGACAAAACAAGAACACAGACAGACGGGGGCGGCCTGGACAAACACGAATCCGACATTTAGATATTTGTGTTTTGTTGGGCCTGCGGCCCACAGCCCCGCCGCTCGCCCGACCTGCTGTGCGCTCGCTCGAACTGGGCTGGCCCAAGGCCAGCGCCCTGCCCCTCCCCCCATTTCCACTGCTTCATTACTCACTCTTCGAGCGATTCCTCACTCGCCACTCAGATTTAGGGTTCCCTCGGCTCGGGTCGACCCCGTGACATCCCCACCGGCGAACTCAAGCGCCCCGCGGCGGGCTCTCCTCCAGCGACTGGATACGCCGGTGACCAGGTCAGTTCTGTACCGGCTTGCCCTCCTCCCCTCTCCTTCCCCGCGTCTCGTGCAATGTGACTAGAAAACCTGGGGCGCGGCAACGCGCCGCGCTGTACCGGCTTGCCCTCCTCCCCTCTCCTTCCCTGCGTCTCATGCAATGTGACTAGAAAACCTGGGGCGCGGCAACGCGCCGCGCCATCTATAGCTAACCAATGGTTCTTTTATGTGGGATTTACGACAATTAGAATTTCATTTGTTCGATGTCTGATTACTTCATAAAGAAATGAAATTGTCTTCTGATGACACTTGACTCAAACCGAGCAGAAAATGTTCTCTACTACCTTGAAGGCAGATTAAGCAACACTACTCAGAGACATGCAATGGAGAACTTCCACCACCACTTCGCCATCCCTTGTTGGTACTACCCCTTGTTGGTATTATCATGACTGGAGGACTTTTATTTAAATTTCAGCTTTAATTCGCATAAGACTCGATTAGTCTCTTGTAATTATGTGCTGTAAAAATTAAGTACTCTTGCCGGTGCTGCTCACCACGACCTTTTCTTCTTCAACCTTCACGGTGTCGAGCAAGAAAAAGAGGAACAACGAAAGGGCAAATCTCCTGACTGCACGGGATAAATTTATAACTCACTAGAAATCCAAAAGACACTTGTCATGTCCATGGCTGTGATGTACAATGGAATTTGAGGTCTAATTTTCTACTCAAGGGCATCAAGTTTCCTCTTTTGCTCACTTTCCATGTTGAAACCCATTGGAACATCCCAGGGTACATCCCAGATAACTCTCTATTCTAAGCTTACTCCGCAATTCTCAAGTCCAGTTTCAGCTAAGCTTGGTCCGCAATTCACAAGTTCATTTTCAGCGGGTGCAAGGGAAGACCCATACTCTAAAATAGCTGCACTGAAGTATTTAAATGCTCATGGGTGCTCTAACATTGACTTATACTATAAGTATTCATGTGTACTGGATGAAAAAAGAGCTCTGGAGCTGTTTTGGGTTAAGGCACTGAACTTTAATTGGGATTATATAAACTATGTTGTGTCTAGTATCAATTTTGCAAGATTTGGTAGACTGGTCTGGTACTGAATGCAACATTTGCCTCACATCTGAACTTAACTAACACTATTTTGTGTTTATTATCAATTTTGCATTGATCTATATATACTGAGAATCAAGTTTTCTGTTGTATGTATATTAGAATATCATGCCCTGATATTCTATGCTTTTGTTTGTATGGTGAATCTATAGAAAAATTGGCAATAGGAGTATTAGGACATATACCTTCATTGATGTTTCTGCACAAGCTACTATAACATGGTTAGATTGGCCAACCAGATGTCATTGTCGTCGTCGTCCTTGCAAGGTGTGACTCCCGAGCTTCCTCTCGTCCCTTGCAAGGTGTGCAATGGGGCGTTGACAGAGCTGGTCTCCAGAAAAACAGAAACCACGTGGAGGAAGTTCTACCGGTGTACATGCAGGAAGACGGTAGGTAACTTTCTCCATTTTTGCTCAATTATTAAGCTTATATGGTTTGGGGAATTTAGAAGGCCCAATAGATGCTTTCTTCTCTGCAGGATGGGACTCAATGCGATTTTTTTTAAGTGGCAAGGGAGTTATGCCATTATGTTATTCAAGGATGGGATTGTCACTGATGGGAACGAGGTCACTCAGTTGGTAATGATCGCACTTAATGATCATAGCAAAGCACTAGAATCTCTTACCACATCCATCAGAGAGACGAAGCAAAAGCTGAATTACATGGAGAAGTTAATGGGCGACCAAGCCTTGATGAAGCAAGAGCTGGACAACCTGAAAAGGTTGATGGGCAACCAAGAGTTGAAGAAGGATGATGTGCATAAGCTAAAAGGGACTACAGGGAAACGTTGGAAGATGGCAATGTGTTCACTGTGTTTTCTGCTTTTGGCGATCTTGATTGGGTGGTTTGTAATGGAACATATGAATGGGGAGGAAGCATTCAGGGGACTTCTACTGAGCCCTTAGGCTAATGAACTTACGATGATGAACTTTTGTATAGCTAGTC